CAATTCAAAATTTTTTAGAGAATGAAGTTGCTTTATGTGTTTTTTTTTACAATTTTTTACAACTTTTTTACAATTCTATTGAAACCTTCAAGTTTTTGTTCAATTTTGCTGCCAAGAAAGCCCCAAGTCTTTGAAACCCAGCCCCACTTTTGCTGCCAAACTTGAAATCCTCAAATTTGCTGCCAGACTTGAAACCCTCAAGTTTTTTAGAATTTGTTTTTTTTACAAAATCTGTTGCAAATTTGCTAAAAAAAATATGCTGCATATTTGTTAAAAAAAATATGCTGCAAATTTGTTTTAAAAAAATCTGCTGCAAATTTGTTCAAAAAAAAAATCTGCTACAAATTTGTTCAAAAAAAAAAAAGCTGTTGCAAAAAAATATGCATTGGCTCAAAACATCTCATAGAGCCTAAAAATTTGTGATTTTTTTGTTAAACTTGTTCAACATACTTTTTAACACTTTCATTAAACTTGATTACTTGTGTGTTATGAAACTTTGTGTTTATATAATGTGTTTTGTATGTTATGGAACTTTGTGTTTATTGGACCATGTTGGGTGTTATAGAACTTTGTGTTTATATAATATGCTTTGTGTGACTATGCTATGTTGTCTTGAGTAGTAAGATGGAGGAGGGCAATGCGAATAGAGGCGGAAGGGGTCAGAACAAACGCTATTAGACTCCGGAAGAAGATAAAGCTCTCATTGTTGCTTTCTATGAAATGGCTACTGATAGTCATTGGAAGTGTGAGAATGGTTTCAGAAATGGATATATGTCCAAATGGGAAGAGCTGATAAGCAAGGCCATTCCTGGATGTGGGTTGAAAGCTACTCCTCACATTGATTCGAGGTTGAAAATACTTGTTAAAAAGTATAGAGCTATAATGCAAATGTTGGGAACGAGTGGATTCAAATGGGATGATGAAAAGCATACAATTGCTTTTGAAAAATCAGTGTATGATGAGTATTGTAAGGTACGTTTGTTATCTTCTTTTTTGTAGTATTATCTTTAAAGTCCATGATTTCATAGGGTGAACATTAACCCAATATATTGTTTTTAGATTCATCCAAATTGTAGGAATTTGTATGGTGTCCCATTCCCTTACCTGAATGAAATGGAGAGTATTTATGGGAAGGATTATGCTACTGGAAAGTCTACCGAGGGCTTTGTTGGAACCGTTGAGATGAGGATGTTGCTGCTGATGGATCTTCTGCCCCTCCTTTAAAGAAGGTGAAAATAGAGTGAAACATGAAAAGAGGAAGAAAGAGTGTTGATACCGCTAAGGGATCACAAACTTCTGAATTTATCAAGTTTGAAAACTTTTCGGATAATATGAATGTTCATTTTTCTACAATGGCGAATGCCATGAAAAGAGCTGAAGATCGAGAGACGGAGGTCCACGACCGAGAGATGGAGCTTGCAAAGATGAGTGACAAAGTATTGGATGAACTACTTGCCTTAGAAGGTATTACTACCGGTGAATCGTTAGAAGCAGCAGAAGTCCTTTTAGCCCAACCTCATAAGCTCACACTTTTCTTCAAGTGCTCTAGTGCTTTGAGAACGAGGTATGTCAAAGGTCTTCTAAGTGAAAGTCGAGGCGGTAGGCCATAGGAGGTGCTTGTATTGGTGTCTTTATTTTGGACGATATTGTCTTGTTCATGACAATTGTTTTTTATCCTTGTATTGTTGGCATTGTTCTGTTTTTGAAGTTTTAGACAAGTAATGTATTTTGAAATGAACCTATCATCTTGAAAGTATGTTGTGATGTGTGAATTTTGTTTAATTGTATGTTTGATAAAATTAATAACTATTATTTTTAACAAATTAATCATAGTTGTGTAAAAAAATTTGATTTCCCTGTTTTGAACGAAACAGGAATAAAGGGAATTCTATTTCCGGTACTGGATAAAACAGATAGAGTAATTCAGGGGTAATCATTCCCTTTCTCCCTGATTCCCTTTCCTGTTTCCTTTCCCTTTCCTCAGCATGAACCAAACGCCCCCTAAATATTTTGTGAAGCCAAGGAGTCCATGCATAATCCAACACAGCATAGTATCTACTGATTTTATAGAGCAACCAGATACTTTTTCTTGAGTTTGATCCTTTAAATTTTCATAGTCTTGTTCAGTGTTTATAAGGTCTTAGAACCGAATCATTTATGTTATTTCTTTTATATTATGTAGGTCTTTTTTAAATCTTGGAGGGGCTTTGGTTTGGCCCTCCCCTCCCTTTGTACCTCCTTTCTCATTTGAATAAAATTTTCTTTAATAAATGCATAAATCAATGTGTGTTTGTGTATGTATGTGTGTGTGTGTGTGTATATATATATATAAACATATATGTATTAATGTTTGTATATTTAATCATAAAAAATATAATTCTTATTACTAATAATTGTATTTATGACGAGATTTTTTATCATAAAAAGAGCATTTTGATGAAGGTAAAATTACTCTCATTAAATAATTTTAATGAGAGGACTTGTAACCCGTCATTATTTTTAATTAACTACGGAGGCTATAATGACAGTCGATGAGAGTAAATTTCCTCTCATTAAAATGTTTTAATGACGGTTTTTTGTATTTTAACTACAGTTTCTACTCACATTAAAGAACATTTTTCTTGTAGTGATTCAAGCTGGGTTCCTAAAGAATTCTTAGCGCCTTGGTTTCTTTGGTATGTTTCTGAATCTGAATTTCCTTTTCAACAACATAATCTTTGGATTTGTTTTGAGTTTGTTTGTGACATTCATTGTTCAACCCTAAGAATTTTCACCTTTGATTCATCAGGTTCTTAGCTTGTTTTGCTCCATTCTTTGGGTATGTTTGTTAGGATTAAGGGGTTTTTATTGCCTTGAGTTGGTTTGTGTTTTGACAAACGGGTTTTGAAGCCCCTTATTTTCTTCTTCGTTGCTTCTATTCTTGCGCATCTTCTATTCTTCTATGAGAGCCTTTGTTGTGTTTGAGCTGTAGTAATGGGAAATGTTCTTCTCCCCATTGTATGTGTGCATGTCCTTCTCCCCATTGTTGCAATTCCGCTAATAGTGTTGGGAAAAATATTATAGATTTTGATGATGATGTAGATTGTAATAGGAACTCTAGGTATCCCCCATTATTCAATGTAATTTTCTTTTTAGAAATATTGTTAAAACCAAGTTCTTGAGATTTCAAATAAAACTTGTGATATTTCATTTTGAGTTTTGAGCATTCATACTTTGAAGACTTATCAAAATCAGAGATGTGGAAATCAAAACTCTCGCTCGGAAATATCAGAGACAAGAAAGGAATTAATTCCTAATGAAGTCAAATTACTTTGGAATTCTCAAATCCGGAATACTCAATGATGCCCGGAAGTCTCGCAGCCATCCGTACAAAGACAAAGTCATCTGGATTGGAAGACTAGTGCGGATCGCTCTTTCTCACCCGGAAGTCTCAGGATGACTAATTTGGAACTGTAAAGCGAAGAGCCGAATTTCTCAAGATGGACCGGAACTCTCAGAACTGACATGTGAAAAAAGACTTAGAAATATATCTAAGTCATGAATGAAGGAATTATACCCGTTAGCAAGGAAAAATCAGACTCTTGATTTTCAAACGGCTAGATTGAGGAAAACTTAGCTGATTCAAGAACAAATGATAAGAAGACAAAATATGGACTCCCCAAATTGAAGAGCTCGGTCAGAATTCTTGAAAAAGCACAAGAAGACAAAATGAGAACGCCACTCAATAAAGAGCTACAGTCCAGAATCCTTGAACAACAGCTAGAAGACGGATTCTGTGACAAAAGGGAGTCCCTCTCCAAACAGAAGCTTATGTCCAAAGAGGAAATCATTCCAAGGTCAATCTTCACTCCCCCTTCGTTCAAATTGAAGCCAGCAAATGCAACGGTTAATCTATTCCCTTCAACGGATAGATTAAACCATCGAGCCTATATATAGCTCCTACGGAAGATTGAAGAAGGATCATCGAATCTACCATCATTCATAGTTAACCAAAAGCTTGATAAAGAGAGAATTATAAACTCCTTATCCAGAAGCAAACTCCTCCTTCTTTCAAAGAGCTATAAGTGAAAACACTTGAAGGTTTCCTTGCCTCAAGTACAACACCACATTGAAGGATATCTTTTTAATCAAACATCTTGATTAAAACGGGGCACATCAGCTTTCTTCCAAGCTTATCTTGCAATTCCTATTGTTTGGACCTTGTAGTTGTTGAAGAAGCTTGGCCTTCGAAGGAACAACAAAGCCAGCACGAGTGCAGTAGCAAAATTGGCCTTGCGAATATATACCGTGCAAATTCACAAAGTGTAATTGTTGGTTCATTATCTACAACCAACTACATAGTAGATTTTGAGGACGTAGAAGGATTACCCCACCTTCGAACCTCGTTAAAGTTTGCGTGTCTCTCTCTCTATCTTTACTTAGGGGCTGTTTGTTTCAGCCTTTTAATGGTTCAGATGTCTGAATGGTTCAGCACTTAATGGTTGAGACTGTTTGTTTCAGCCTCTTAATGGTTCAGATGTCTGAATGGTTAAGAGATTTGCCTCTGAATGGTTAGGTATTATACAGAGTCTAAATGGTTAAGACCTCTTATCTGAATTGATCAGACATTTGGCTCTGAATGGTTAAGCAATATACTAGCTCTTAATGGTTCAGACCTCTTACTGGTTCATCACTTAATGGTTCAGACCTCTTACTGGTTCAGCACTTACCTATTCAGAAGTTGCCAAACAGCCCCTTACTTTGTGATTATATTAACTGTGATACTAACCAATCTATATTGATTACTGCTCCAATAATCCACCAACTTCCGCACACAATCTAAGTTCTCAAGAACTCTAGATTAACAACCATTTAACGTTTTCAAAAAGAAACGAAAAATTTTAAATTTGTAACAAAATCTATTCACCCCCCTCCCCGCCTCTAGATATTATATCTCACCACTTAGGGGACCACCAAATAGTGTAATCTCTTGTTTTAATAATTCAACTGCATCTAAGAATCCATGTTTCGAACTCTATGTTCTAGTTACTGGACTATAGACTATTTAAAATTAAGGTGTAATGAACATGCCTTAAGTGTTATTCAATGTAGGAACATAACTGTGGGAGTGAAGAATTATACCAATAGATTTTTTTTTATTTTAGCGCTTGTTGGAGTTTATTCACACCCAAGTGAATCATATAAGCATTGCTCCAATAATATTTGGTTGCAGATGGTTATGCTAAGATTGAGTAAGCGGTGGTTGCTTATGTCCAAAATGAGACCCTCAAAGCAATTCCTCTCAGGATATACTGCACTCGATTAGAGAAATGCATATATTTTATTTAGTCCATTAGTTTTTTATTTAGTCTATTATTCTTTTTCTCCTTTTTTATTGTTCATTTGTTACTAATAAAATACTTTCATTAGTTTATTTAGTTTCACTATCCAGATTTTGTAGATGCCTATTTGAGACTTGCTGCAACAGCCACAACTTGAAATAATGTTCAACTTAGCCGTGAGCTGGTTGTTCCTCTAACAGATTTGTTATTGACTCAGTTGGGAATTGATCGACAGAGGGAGAATGTGATCAACTTCTTTCCTTTTCTTATTATTTTCACTTTTGTTTATGTTATTCAATAACTAGAGAATCTTGTTTTTCATAAAATCTCAGTAAATTTATAAGTATTAACAAGAGGGATAATTGTATTAATTTTTTTCCACAACTTTTTAGGAAATTAATTGCTAGGAAGCATTATGATTTGCAACAGACAAGGGTTATGAATATGGTGCCACCTTGGTTATTTGCAGAACGTTAGTGCCACCTTGGTTATTTGCTGGTGGGGATTCGATGATGAAGCAAATCACTTTTTATTGCATTGAAATTTATCTTCCCTTGAGAGAGGTATATTAAAAGGAATGTGTGCTAATTGTATAAAATATAAAGTTTTATTAATGAAACAATGACTAGTTCTTATTTTTGAACAAAAGCACCAATAATCCCTTTTTTGTTTTCTTAATTTGCCCGCCACATCCTGTTCTCCCCATAATAAAGTCTCTTGGAAAAGTTGAGGAAAGTTCCCTAGATTCATGTGAAAATGTGAGCTTTTCTAGGTAAGCAAGTGTGTCAAAAAACAGCCTTTGTTAGAAACATTTGGACTTTATGAATCAGAATCCTATTGCAAATGTAATTTGTTGATGTATCATATGCTTGGTTGAGAGAAAACTGGTCTTTTTGATTGATCAATGTGTAAAAATTAATCCCCTTGGACAGAAGGAGTTATTATCTTCACAACTAATCACAAAAGGAACTTATATGGGTTGTTTCAAGACACACTAATGATCAAGAAGTTGTTTAGGCATTAAAGTTGAGGAAGAACTCAGGCGTCTTTTAATTGTGGTACATGATGTAAATTGCTAATATATATGCTCTCTTATTCACACTCTCTATATAGAGTTAGTAACGACTCTTACACAATTACCTTGCTCATTTATTTGTTTTTTATCTTGTTTTTTCAGTGTACGAGTATAGAGAGGCTTGTTTTTTCAATGTGGTTTTAATTATGTATTTATTAAATTATTAAATGTTAATAATAGTTTAAATGTATGAATTTAGATATCATTCAATGTATTGTATTTTTTAGAATTTTTTGTTTCGTGATTTATATTTAATATTTGAAACAAATATCAATGATTAAAAAAGTTTTTAATTGAAAAATAGTAGTTTGAATCTTAATTAGACAATCCAAAAAATAGTTGTCTAAATTACAAAAAGACAACACCAAATAAAAGTATCTACAATTGAAGGACAACAACAAATAACAGTAATCTGAATCCTATATGAAAATCCACAAAAGGTAGTCTGAATCATAAATGACAACTACTAAAAGCAATAGTATGAGTTATAAAGTAACAATCCTAAAAAAGCATTATTTGAAACATAAAAAAGAGAGTAATTAGAATTTTAAATAGACAATTGATTAACACAGTTTATTGATGAAATTTTAAAGTAGTCTTTGGAGCAGTAGTTAGATATAAATTTCGACTACTGTTTAAACTAATGGTCTGAATTGTATAAGGACAACGACTCAAAATAGAAGTCTCAGATATATAGAGACAATTGCAAAACATAATTGTTTAAAACATAACAAAAAGAGTAGTCAAAATTCTAAACATATAATCGATTAAAACAGTTGTCTAATATAATTTTAAGGTAGTCTTCAGAGCAGTAGTGTGATAATGATTTTGACTACTATTCAAGCTAGTAGTCTAAATCGTAAAATGACAACTATTCAAAATAGTAGTCTTAATTACATTCCAAACAATAATCCGTATAGCATTCATACCATCAGTAAACACAGTTGACTATAACTATAGAAAACAATATTCATTCACTTACTAGGATAACATTGGAAAACATTAGTCTAGAATACCATAAAAGAACAATACACTTGAGGTTCAAACTACTATTTCGAACAGAAATTTGTATGACTATCATACTACTTCTCTGAAGACTACTTAAAACAACGGTATCTGACTACCAAAAAAGGTAGTAGTCTGATGCTATTTTTGGCGTAGTGATACATGATAGACTTTCTCAAGGTTCAAATCTCCCCCTGATCTGTACATACTTAAGGGTGATTCGAGAGTCGATGCATCCCAATATTTTTCACTTGTTTCTCAAATGTGTCCTTAAGTAATAACTTCTTGAATAAATTTGCCACATTCTCCGTAGATTTTATTTGGTTCACTTGTATCGTGAGAAGAGTTTGTTGTTGTTGGTTATAAAAAAAACTTGGAAGAAATGTGTTTGGTGCTATCACCTTTGATATATCCAAATTTCATTTGCTCGATGCAAGCTGCATTATCCTCGTATATAAACGTGGGTTCTTCAATGGTTGACCTCAAACCACGAGCCCCTCGAATATGTGTAATGATAGTCCTTAACAATTTACACACGCGAACAGCTAGTCTCGTGTAGAGCTAGTATCTTAGTGTGGGTTGATGAGGTGGCTACAAGAGTTTGTTTGGTTAATCTCCAGGATATTATCGTGTTTCAAATTGTGAATACATAACCAGCTTGGGAACTACCCTAGTGTGGGCCGGATAGATACCTTGCATCAGCATACCCGATTAGGACATCATTCGGTATTTCTAGATTTAGGGAAGAACTCTCTTCTTTAAGCCTTTTCTTGGATTCCAATACTTCTTTTGTCCTTAGGTATGGGAAATATAGTCCCAAGTCACTGATCCCTTTTAGGTATCTAAATATATTTTTGATACTGTTCCAATGACGTTGCATTGGCACAGAGCTAAATCTAACTAACAAGTTCATTGAGAATGATATATCTAGCCGGGTACACTGTGCTAGATACAATAATACACCTATTGCACTTAGGTATGGAATTTCAGCTCCTACTACCTCTTCGCCCTTTTCCTTTGGACTAAATGGATCCTTTATGGGATCTAAACTTCGGCTGACCATGGGAGTGCTATGCTAGTAGTATGCGCTTTGTCCATGTAAAATTTTCTGAGTACCTTTTGGACATACGCTGGTGGATTAGTATTCCACCAACTCGATGTTTTAGTTCAAGGCCTAAATCAAATCATGTTTCCCCAAGGTCCTTCATCTCAAATTCAGATTTCAAGTAGCTTGCGGTTTCTCTTATTTCATCAAGAGTACCCATTATATTCATATCGTCTACATAGACAGCTACGATTACAAATCCAGAACATGTTTTCTTTGTAAATATGCAGGGACTTATTTCATTGTTCTTATATCCCTCCCCAATCAAGTAGTCACTTAGGCGAGTATACCACATCCTACCAGATTTCTTTAATCCATAATGTGAGAATTTTAATCTAATCGCAAATGCACTCCGTGGTTTAGAGTCATTGGATTTGGATAAGGGAACACCCTCTGGTAACTTTCATGTATATCTCAGAATCAATCAAGATCTCTGTAAAGATATACAGTAACCACATCCATAAGCTGCATTTCCAGTCCTTCTGAAACCGCTAAGCTCACTAAGTACCTAAACGTTATAATGTCCATTACAAGAGAGTAAGTCTCATCATAGTCAATTCCAGGGCGTTGTGAGAAACCATGCGCCACAAGGTGAGCCTTATATGTTAAGACCTCATTCTTCTCGTTACACTTTCTAAAAATACCTATTTATGTCCTACAGGCTTTACACTTGGACGGGTTAGCACTACCGGACCAAATACCTATCTCTTTGCCAGAGAATGTAGTTCTACCTCGATGGCTTCTTTCCATTTAGGCCAGTCTGCTCTTGGTTGAGATTCTGTAAGAGAGCGTGATTCGATATCATCGTGCCCTTTCATTTCTAGAGCAATTTGAAGATCGATCTATTAGCACATGTGCATTTCCATAGTACATTAGGATTTCTTTGTTCTCTTGAATCATATCAATCCACTACAAAAAAGTTGACTTTTTGTGTCACCAAATTTTGCCACAAAACATAAAACACTTGCCACAATAACAATTTGTATCAAATTAGGAACTTGCCATAAGACTGCCACAAATACCCGTTACAAAATGTATTTATGGCAAATTTAATTTTTTTACACAAATCATGGTTTTGTGGCAAATTAAGATTTGCCACTAATAAAATATTACCACAAAAGCTCATATTTAGTGGCAAATTTTAGTTGCCACAAACTATATTTTGCCACAATCTAATATTTAGTAGCAAATTTATGTTGCCACTAAGTATTCTTTTCCAAAACAGTTCATTTTTAGTAGCTACAATTGTTATTTTATTTTGATACAATTTTTTATATTATTATTGTTATAAATAGTACTCCGTACAATTATCTGTATCATATTTACCAACAACATTTTATGAGATATATAATGAGAGAAATAAAAACAAATAAAATACCAAAATAAGCAAAAGTCATGGATACTAATTTAAAACAAAATACATGGTATTCATATATAATTCCAATCGATCAAATATTCATAATTATATAGTACAACTTTAAAATGATGATATAAAATCTAAACATGTTTTTATAACAAAAAAGTCAAATATAAATTTAAAATTCATTTAAGCTCTAGCTCCTCAGCTCCATCTCCTTGATCATTTTTGTCACTTCAATCTTGATGAAAATCAACATTATTCTGAAAAACAAATTGTAAGAAAACAAATCAAACACTAATAGACTAGATTACCATGTTATAAAAAAGAACTTGTATGTTTTTTTGTCAAACTTAAAGACTAGCCCTAGATATAATTTGCCTTTTTATGACAACTTTAAAAGCTCCAATCTGTATAAAAAATAGCCCCCAATGGAATTCTTATTTAAGAGGAAGGATTAAGTTGACATGAAAACTACAAAAAGAAGTGATGAAAAATTTTTCTTTGACAAGAAATAGAACGCTGACATTCAAGCTCAAAAGAATTTGGAGGATTATTTTCAACATTTTGAGAAAGGGAAGCAAGAGCTAGTCACAAAGACAAACAAATGCAAAGGAGATTTAAAAAGTTGACTTTAACAATGAAGGAACAGAGGGAGATAGAGAACACATACTATAACATTTGAATTGCCTAAGACATTTAGACACCTTGAATCATGTAAGAATAAGAAGAATAAATATATGAATTCAGCTTCTTGGAGTTTCGAATAAAAGATAAAGTTCTTCATGCAAATTGTAAATCCACATACTAATATAAAAATATTAGAAAATAAAAAAAACAAGAAAGAAGCTTTAAGTATAGATGTTAGATATCTTTCAATCCAAGTGGATTCCATATAGAAAACACGACAGATGCAACAAATTTATGAAGCAAACAACAATTTTTCATCTATCCTAATCTAATCTTAAAATTTTGCATTAATGAGAAGACAAAAAATGGTTATAGGCTAAACTCCACCATTGGTCCTTCAACTTTATCAATTGTGCACGATTGGTCCTTCAAGTTTTAAAAGTTCATAAATAGTCCTTCAACTTTATGAGTTATGCACGATTGGTCCTTCAAGTTTTAAAAGTGCATAAATAGTCCTTCAAGTACATGTCAGCCCTCCAGATGATGTCCTTTTGACAGTTAATGTTAAAAGCTAAATGGAATACTAGCTCCATATAATACGGAGTAGTCGTACCTAGTGGAATTTACTCGTATTATATAAAACTAGTATTTCATTTTAACTTTTAATATTTATGGTCAAAAGGACTTCATATGGAGGGCTGACGTGTACCTGAAAGACTACTTATGGACTTTTGAAACTTGAAGGACCAATGGTGTAGAACTCATAAAGTTGAAGGACTATTTATGGTAGAGCTAAAGCGCGACATGTGGCAGAGCTGATGTGTCACCCTTTTAGACAATTATGCATAGTTTTTAAAACCAGACCGGACCAGCCGGTTCGGACCGCAACCGGTGCACTCGTGGTCCAACCGGTCCAGTCCAGCCCCATGGACCGCATTAAGCTTCAAATCGGTCCGAACCGGCAAGAACCGGCCAGTCGAATCGGTCAGACCAGTTTTTTTGCAAGTTTTTTCCAAAAGCATACCACCATGGGGGTTTGAACCCAAGATCTCGTGACATTAGTTGAGCATTTTATTTTTTATTTTTAAAAAGAAATTCATTTATTTATATGTTATGATGTGATAAAATTAATTATGTTATAAAATCAAATTTGTGAAAGATAAATATAGTATTGTCTGAAATAAAATTATTAAAGTAAAAAATTAGTGAAAATATAAAATTGGTATTATCACTGACCATTTCTAGACTAGCATTTTTTATGAATAAAATTTTTAACTAAGTGCATACACAAAAAATAAAATTTTAATAATGATATATTTTCATTTAATAAAAGTATTCTTATAGGAAAGGATAAAATATGTTTATAATTGATCCTTTATTTATATAATTGATATTTTAATCCCTAAGAAGCTGAGATGAGATGTTGTTTACGAGACATTTTTGACATGTAAAATATATTATAGAAAGTAAGAAGTTAATACTATGGTATGAAGTCATTCGGTACAATTAATTATGGAAGAGAATAGAGATATTCGTTTTTATAATAAATTATTTCCTAATTATGCATATTTCTCTATTCAATTATTACAAAACTTCTAAAGGTGTGTTTGGTGAGCAAAAAAAATATGAGTTTTGATATCTCTAGATATTCTAATTCTTTTCGGGTGTTTGGTGAAGCCAAAAGAGTTATCAAATTTAATATCTTCTGATATCATAAATCTTTAAAATGAATGGTCTCAATATATCCCGAATTTGGGAGATATCAATATGGGGGTTTGATATCTCTCTCAACTGTTGATTATTCTTTGACACTCGCTACCATTGTCAATGCCAACTACTCCCGTTGCGAGTCAACCTTGCTTATCACTAATTAAATCTTAAATTTAAATCTCTCCGAATAAAATCATTTCAAATTACAAAATCCATATCACTTCTCTGAGTTTTCATAACCCACATCTTATAATATCTCCAAACTTCACCAAATTGGCCCTAAGTAATTAATAAGATATTTTTTCACTTCTAAATAAATTTCATATTTTTTTGTGATATATTTAAATCGAAGCAGTCAATTTGATTATATTTATTAAAATATTCATGTAAGTTAATAAAAAAACTTATTTTAAAACTACAACGAAACTTTATAAAATGTGAGAAGATTAGACAATAAATTGTTAAAGCAGGTAAAATATATTAGATATTATTTGGTAACTTGATTGTATTAATTTCATGGTTTCAATTAATTACTAAAAAAATTATGGCTAATAGTTCTTAAATGATTTATGATTTAATTTACAAATATTTTATTTTATTATTATTTATTATGATATTTTTAAGGGTTAAATATATTTTTAGTACCTTAAAAATAGGCGAGTTGTGTTTTTGGTCCCTGAAATATAATTTTTGTTTAAGTCATCCTTACAAAAAATTTTATTTTGATAATGATCTTTATACGTATTAAAGACTTTTAAGTTGTTGACATAACATATTTATTTTGTACTCAATAGCTTAGTTTTATATTTGCAATTACTTCAGACATAATTTTGATGCCAATGATTGTGTCTTTTATCAAATTGCATTTCCAATTCTCAAATTTTGATTATATTATATTCGTAAGAAATTTGAGACCTGGATATATGTAATATGAATAAGTACACAATTTAGGGTTTAGAAATTGCATCAGATGTAATTAGAAATACATGACTAATATGTTGAGTATGAAATAAATGTACTATCTCATCTAATCAGAAGTGCTAATTACGTTAAGGACTATTTTCAAATTCAAATATTTTGAAGGGATGACTTTATCAAAAATATTTTACAGGGACTAAAAACAAAACATATTTAAAACATATTTAAACCTATTTTTTATATTATAAAATACAATTGATTAAAACAAAATATATCGTTAGGACTTATTATATTACACTAACATTATTTATGATTTTATTATCATTGAGTACATTTAATTAAGAAAGAGAGATATTTATTTTTCATTAGAATATTGTTTTAAATTTTTATTTTTTCATTTCATTTAAAATAATACTCTCAATGAATATATAAACTAGTCTCTTCATCTCTAAAAACATTTCATATTTCTTTATGTTATGATTAAGGGAAGTTAGTTTTCTTTTATTTATTTAAATATTGATGTAAAATAACAAATACTTCTTATTAATCTCTATATTAAAATTCTATATATTAAGATATGACTCGATTTTTTTTAAATGATCAAGTGTTTAAACCAAATTACTTAGCAGGAATATTTAATTTGACTTTTGTACTTTATCTTGCTAATTTGACCTATTATTTTAATCAAAGAAAGTTTACACTATAACTTACTATTTTTTAAGATGTAACTTAACATGTATAAATTTATATTGGGTGATAATTCACTATATTGATGCATGAAAATAAAAAAGACGGATGAAGTATGTGTGAAACGTGTAACATGAAAGAAGATAAAGAATTCTTATTGATGTGTTGTGTTGTAACAAGGGATATCTCCCTCAATATATAGGGAGAAAAATATCCAAAACTAACTAGGAAAAGAACACCAAAACCAACTAGGAGAAGAAATCTATCACAAGGAGTATTCCTAAAGTAGAAAAGGAAACAAAGTCCTTTGGGAGTAAAATCCCATTCCAGCCGTGCGTCCCAAGTGTGCAGCCCACGTAACACCCCCCTCAAGCTAGAGCATGGGGATTTCGCGTGCCCATCTTGGACAAAAGATGATTAAACGGAATGGCACCAAGGGATTTTGTGAAGAGATCCGCAGGTTGTTCAGTCGAAGAGACATGTGCCGTGCGAAGAACGCCTTTCTGAATTTCGTCCCGAACAAAATGACAATCAATTTCAATGTGTTTAGTGTGTTCATGAAAAACGGGATTCGCTGCGATGTGCAAAGCAGCCTGATTGTCGCAATAGAGATCCATTGGTTGTGGATGCCGAACACCAAGAGAGAGTAACAAAGTCCGTAGCCATTTTAATTCACAAACTGCGGTTGCCATGGCCCGATACTCAGCCTCTGCGGCGGAACGAGACACAGTCTTCTGCTTCTTCGTGCGCCAGGAAATGGGAGAATCGCCTGAGCAGATGAAATAGCCGGAGATAGAACGACGAGTAAGGGGACAACTCGCCGAGTCAGAATCACAAAATGCCGTGAGCTGTAGAGGCCCCGAGGCCGAAAGGAAAAGCCCTTGCCCCGGGCGAGTCTTGATGTAGCGGAGAGTGTGTATAGCAGCCTCCCAATGATCCCGGCGTGGGTTTGCCATGAATTGGGATAGAATATGAACCGCGTACGTCAAATCCGGGCGTGTAATAGTAAGGTAAATGAGACGTCTAACCAAGCGACGATATTGGGATGGATCAGAGAGCAATGGGTCGTCTGCCAGTGCGAGACGGTGGTTCGCCGGCAGTGCAGTAGCAGCCGGTCACTAGCCCAAGTAGCCTATTTCGGAGAGAATGTCCAGGGCATATTTCGTTGAGAAAGGAACAGGCCAGAGCGGTTGCGTGCAACTTCGATGCCCAGAAAGTATTTCAACAAGCCAAGATCCTTCATATGAAAACACTTCGACAAATAGTTCTTAAACCGGGAAATAAACGCCTCGTCATTACCGGAAAGTACCAAATCATCGACATATATAAGAACCCGAAGTTCAATAGGACCACGCACAAGAGTGAAGAGGGAATAATCCGCCTTGGATTGAGTGAAGCCGTAAGCCTGGAGAGCAGTGGTCAGTTTCGAAAACAAACAACATGGTGCTTGGCGAAGTCCATAAAGGGATTTATGCAGGCGGCAAACCAATCCTTGTCGACGAGACGCAAAGCCAGGAGGAAGCTGCATATATACTTCATCGTTAAGATCCCCGTGGAGAAAGGCATTGTGAACATCCATTTGATGAAGGCTCCAGTTCTGTACAGCCGCCACTGCCAACAAAGCTCGAACAGACACGAGTTTGGCGGTGGGGGCAAAAGTCTCTTTGTAGTCAATACCTTCCTTTTGACGATTGCCGAGGATCACAAGGCGGGCTTTGTAGCGCTCAATGCTTTCATCAGACTTGTGTTTGATTTTGTACACCCACTTGGAACCAATTGCCTTTTTGTGTGGAGGTAAAGGGACCAAAGACCAAGTTCCGTTGGCATGAAGGGCATCCAGCTCATCCTTCATCGCCTGCCGCCAATGTGAGTGTTTAACCGCCTCTTTGAAACTGGTGGGCTCCTCGTCTCCAGTAATAGCTGCCAAAAAACTTCTATGTCGAGAAGAAAAGTTATCATAGTTAACAAATTTAGTGATACAATGAGCCGTACCTGAAGTGGAGATCGGAGTAGGTGAGCAAGCTGGCGTACTACGAACTGTGTGCATGACAAAGTCACGTAGATGTGACGGAGGACGACGCTTGCGTTGGCTTCGTTGATTGGGTTCCCGCCCTTGAGGGATGTCAAGTATTGGAGAAGAAGTTGGAGGTATGGTTTCTGGAGAAGGGTCATATGGCTGGTTGTGTTCGGCTATGGTTTCGGTGTGGGGTGGCGTGGCGAGTTGGACTAGGTTTTCGGGTTGGGGTGTTGTTTCGGTTTCGGGGGTGGTGGCTGGATCTGGGGTTGGTGTTGTAGGGTGGTTGGCAGTGGAGGAAGGGACGGGTGGGATGCCAGGGAAAGAGTCAAAGGCCGATTCGTCATCGAAAAACTCATCGGGTGGGAGGGTATTGGGCTGTGGTGGAGGAGAGATAAAAGGGAAGAAGTTCTCAATAAATTTGACATCCCAACTGACAAAAACTTTGTTCGTTTCCAGGTCCTGTAGTCGCCATCCCTTTTGACCAAATGGATATCCAAGGAAGAGACAACGACGGGAACGACCGGCAAACTTATCGCCATGGGTAATTTAACTGTGTGCATAGGCAAGGCACCCAAAGGTGTGTAGGTGTGAGTAAGTTGGTTCTTGACCAAAGAGAAGGGTGTAGAGTGTTTTTTCGTTTAACAAGGGAGTGGGAGTACGCTTGATCAGATAAGTAGCTGTAAGGATACAATCACCCCAATAGCGAAGGGGAAGATTAGCTTGAAACCGGAGCGCACGTGCAATGTTTAGTCTGTGTTTGCGTTCGACTCTCCCATTTTGTTGAGGAGTGCCAACACATGAGGATTCAAATATCATTCCTTGAGATGCAAAATAAGGTTTCATGCACGTGAACTCCGTCCCATTATCGCTACGGAGGATTTTTACTTGGGTATTAAACTGACGCTGGACAAAGGCAAAGAAATTACGCAGGACACTAGGTGTTTCGTCCTTGTGAGTCATGAGATAAACCCAGGTTGCCCTAGAAAAATCATCGACAATAGTCAGAAAATATTTGNCCCCCCCCCCCCCATCACAATGTATTACTCTAAAAGGAACATTTGATTTATTCAAACTGGTAGGAAAAGAGTCACGACATTGTTTGGCACGGAAGCATACATCACAAGGTAAAGAAACATCTTGAAAAGAAGAAGAACAAAACGGAAGAAAACGATAAATCTCAGGTGAAGGATGACCAAGTCGCTGATGCCACACAGAAAAGTCTTTCGTCGCTCGTACAGCACAGGCTTTGTCATGCACTTTCGGATCAAGGTAGTAGAATCCGTCAGCCTTCTTACCCGTTCCAATCACTATCTTCGAGGTAGAGTCTTGAATAGCACAAAATTTGTTAGTAAACTGGATTAACATTCCTTCCTTGTCAAGAAGTTGAGAAACAGAATTTAAACTGCAATTGAGTTCCGGTACGAGCAAAACATTAATGAGTTTTAAAGATTCGTTGAAGACGACTTTGCCCACAAGTGCGGCTCTCACACTTTCACCGTTAGGAAGCCCCACTCTGCATTCCTTTATAGGTTGGAGGTTTCTCAATCGGCATTTGTCTCCGGTCATATGTTGGCTCGCCCCGCTGTCAATAATCCAAGGGCTAATATTCGTACCTGAGAACTGGTTTTCACACTGCACATTAGCCTGCCCCGCGAACTGATCTTTCGGCTGTTCCGTTTTAAAGGCACGGTTCTCAATTCCACATCCAGCAGCAACGGCGCACCTGCCAGCTTGTGGCGCACCATTACCGCGGCCTCCTCCCCGTCCACCATTTTGCACGCGAAGTATGTTCGCCCACCACTCTGGATATCCGATGATTTGGAAACAACCGCTTATTTCATGCCCTGATTGACCACAGTGTTTGCACCTCAAGGTGTTGTCTCGACTTGGTTTTCCAGCGGCCACAGCGAAACCCACAGGGTTTCTTTCTTCTTCAGTTGTTAACTTCAGTACACCTTCTTGTTGCGTCATTATGGAGTAAACCCGGTTTATAAAGGGAAGTGGTTCGGTGCTGAGAATGTGCGAACGGAGGCTGCCATATCCTTCATTGTCCAGGCCCATCAAAAACTGGTGAACCTTCTCTTCGTCACGTTGTTTTTCTAATAGTGCGGTCAAGCCACACGTACAACCTTCGCAATTGCATGCCAGGACTTTCAACATATCGTAGAGTTCGTCCCAAACTGCTTTCAATTTTCCATAATGCTTAACGATCTCCTGACCGTTTTGCTTCGTGTTTGCCAGTTCTTTCTTCAATTGATGGATCCGTGGCCCATTCGCCAAGGAAAATCTAGCTTTTATATCATTCCACAAGTCAGCCGCTACCTCGACTTGGGTGATGGAGTCGCGCAAATCCGTCTCGATGGTATTGTAGATCCACGAGACAAGCATAGCGTTCATGATCCACCATTCTTCGTATTCGTCGGTGTTGTCTTCGGGGCAGGGTATGGACCTATGAATAAAACCAAATTTCCTTTTGTCGCGCAGCGCTATCCTCATGGCTCTTGCCCACTCTTCATAGTTTCTTCTAGTTAATTTAACCTGAGTGATCAACAGGCCCGGTGTATCCACAAATTTCAGATCATATGGACTCGGCTTCATCCCCTTTGTGTCGTCGTGTTCGTCCGTTCTTTTGGGTGTGCATTCCGGTTTTGGTGTCTTAGTCATGGCTTTGATTCTGCTCTGATACCATGTGAAACGTGTAACATGAAAGAAGAGAAAGAATTCTTATTGATGTGCTGTGTTGTAACAAGGGATATCTCCCTCAATATATAGGGAGAAAAATATCCAAAACTAACTAGGAAAAGAACACCAAAACCAACTAGGAGAAGAAATCTATCACAAGGAGTATTCCTAAAGTAGAAAAGGAAACAAAGTCCTTTGGGAGTAAGATCCCATTCCAGCCGTGCGTCCCAAGTGTGCAGCCCACGTAACAGTATGACTCGATTTTCATTTCTTCATTTTCGCAATCATACAAAGAAATTTAACAGAATGATATTCTTAGATACGAAGCGATATAACATGGACTTTCACAAAAAATATTTCTATAAGGAAAATTAAGATCTGGAGGCCGGGAACGCGTGAAAATCTGTTAGAATTAAAAATTAGATACAAGGATAATCAATAATTTAAGGAGAAGTACGAAGAAGATCTAATGTGCAGAAGTGAATAAGATTTAGGCTCAGCTACAAAATCGAAGAGAAATATATTTTTTAAATTGTAACTCTTTTAAATGGTATATAACATAAAAAAATCAAGTTGTTTAAATATTTTATATTCTACAATAAAAAACAATTTCATTCCACCTGTGCATGGCACGGGTTAAAATACTAGTTTTTATATATGGAAATTATATTTCATATTTGTTACACACAAATTTCTAAACATAACTATGTTTAAAAACTTTTATATTTTAATTCATTATTGAGAAATATTTAAATTATATAATATATTTAAAACGGAGAAAAAGAACTCATATTCAAAAATAATAATAAAAACAAATAAATTTATTCTAAGAATGAAAGATTGGTAAAACTAAAAGAAATTACATGTGGATATTAGTTTTTTCTTTGAATTAATACTAATTGGAGAGATTTTCCAAAAATTTTGTTGATAAACCATTGTTTGGTGAGAATGGCTGGCTACCTATTATACAGAAAAGGAAACATGAGGGTCACCACAATGAGAATGGATGATAATTTATTTGGACTGTCATACTACCCACAACTCTTGATGAGGTATCAAGATCGCATCAATATTGAATATTACAATAAATCTAATTCAATCAAATATATCTTTAAATATGTAAATAAAGGTTTAGATAAAGTAACTGTTGCAATTACCCAATCTAACTTTGAAGTCGTTGAAAATATGGTGTATGATGAAACAGAGAAGTACTATGATTGTTATTATGTATCTGCATGTGAAGCCTTTTGGAGAGTCCTCTCTTTTGATACCACAGGTGGCCCACAATATTGAGGTTGAACCCATCTATAAGCCTAAAATTTGTAAATTTTAAAGACCAATAAAAGCTAAAAGATATCGTCAAAGAAAATATTGATAAATTTTCAATGTTTGAAGCTTAGATGATTGCCAATAGACAGTACAGTGCGGGAGAAAATTTGACGTATGCATAGAGTTTCCAAAATATTTTGTGTACAACCACAAAAAGAAAAAAAATTCAGAGGAAGCAAAGACCGTCAATAGGCAGGTTACAACATGCATCTACAGAAACCAGAGAGTTAGACTACTTGAAAATAGCTATTAACTATCCAGCGAGGATGTACAAGTTATAAGAGCTTTGAGGATAATTAACATTGTTCTACATAAATCATTCAAGAAAGCATGTGAAGTATTCGGGTTATTAACCTACGATAAAAATTTTATTGAAGGTTGCTAAGTTAAGATTTGGGAATCAACTAAGAACGTTATTCGTGACATTATTAGTGACAAATACCATGATTCGCCCACAAATTGTTTTGGAAAATTTTTTAGGAACTTCTGGTGGATGTAATTTATTTGACCCAAAGAAAATATTGCGTAATCCAGGTATTTCAATACAAAGATTGTTTTTAATGTATTAATCCATATGAAATCCATTATATGGAAACAAAACTCTTTAATTGAGTACTGTATATAAATAAATTTTTCTAAATATTTTTTGGCAGAACTTATAATTATCATGAGAAGACCTAAAGAATTTATGTCTAATTAAGATTGAAAAGTTGCTTAATTGAAATAGATGGTCTTTAAAGGAATTTAATGGCATGTCATTTCCAGATGAAAATCCACTTAATAGATATCAAAATAATTTTCTGGTAGAGGAGTTGAACTATGACAAAGAAAAGTTATCATTTGATCATAAAGGATATTTAATGAAGATCAGTGGAATATGTCGAATAAAATAATGGAAGTCATGAAAACGGAAAGAGTAAGTTTCTTTTTTTGTGAATAGAGATGTAATGAGGTTCACTAATTATAACGCCATAAATGAACCATTTAGAGGGAAAACAATTATACTAGGAGGGTGATTTTATCTATATTCTTTTAGTTTTACTCAAAGCTATGAGAAAGGAAATTGTAGGTACTACCGCCAATTCTTCAAAAATATGATTGTATTGTAAAGTTAAACATTGACCAAGAATATGAGATTCTATTCATCTACACCCTCTTGCACAAATAGGACACACAAGTTTTTTGATTGGATAATCAAAGTCGAAGATGAAAAGTTTGGACAAGTGATTGATGAAATTGTTGACGTTGAAATCCCGTTTGAATTCTTTATCCAAATCTATTATAGAACATGAAAAATTAATTGTTTTTAAAGTAGTGCACTATTTGCACCCGCGCTCGAGGTTGTTGAATGGTAAATGAAGTTGCCCAATCCCTTATTCTAGGAGGTAATAAAGAGTACTTAAGTTCAGATTCTTTATGCCAAGCATATTCAGATGTACGTATCGAAGATGATTGGATAACAGTTAGTTTTCTTTTAATGAAATCAAATGTTCGTGGATCCAAAACCAAAAAATAATTTTAAAAAGGGGGTACCAAATATGATATTGAACAATATTGACCAAACATCTAGATTGTGTAATGGTAGAAGATTAATTGTTGAAGAGCTGCAAAAGAAGATTATCAATGCAATTGTGGTTTCAAGAAATCGAGTTGGGAAAAGAGGTTTACATACCCCGAATGAATTTTTGGACCGCCTGATTCAGGACTACCCCTGAAATTCTAGAGAAAATAATTGTCAATAGTCTTATGTTTTTTGATGACTATGAACAAAAGTCAATGTCAAACATTATCTTTTAATTTTCTATACTCCGGGATATTATTTCTAACCAATTCGGTATTAACTCATGGTCAACTTTATGCTATTGTTTCACGAGTGAAGGCAAAGGCAGGATTAAAAATATTTGTTCTAGATGACAACGAAACCCTTACAACCATACCAAAAATATTGTGTACCCTGGAGTCTTTTAGAAAAGTTGGAATTAAAATGACTTTCTTGAGTACACTTTTAATTCCCCAAAAATTATATATTCTACATTAGCGTTGTTGTCTATTGATTAAAAATTGTGTTAGAAATATATTTACTTGATTCCAGAAAATACGTTGCATTGAAAAAATTCAGGATCAACGAAAATTATGTTCCACCCGTGCATGGCACGGGTTAAAATACTAGTATTATATATCTACAAGTAAATTATTATGTAATAGTTATATATCTACAAGTTAAGTAGACATTGATTTGCCTATAATGATAAGACATATAAAAGCTCTATAATGTGGAAATTGCATATATGCAAAATAAGATGCCCCGATCTAAGATTTAAAAATTAACCTGAAAAATTCACTAACACACAAACTAAAATTTACATAGTGGGCATAGATAATCAAAATTAAGATCTCTATATATAAGCATACTGTCCAAAACAAATAATCTACAATTTGCACACTAATCGTAAATTAGGGTTAAAAAAGATAGGGTAAACGAGACTGGGTAATTGATTGGGATAACCTGGAGCCTGGGTTGCAGGTTTGCTTAAACTCTGATGCTCGGAGTTAAATCGGACATTCTGCCTTGCCCCAATTCGAGTTGTTCAATCGTCAAATTTTGGAACTTCAAAGTTAGTAGAAGGCAACGTCCAAGCTTGCCCATCACATCCTATGAAACCTTCTTCCACAATCCATTAAAGCGCCATCGTCTCCTCGGTCTAATCCTGCGTCATTCATCATTGAAGAAGGAGAAAAAGCTTCTAGTCGTTTCTTACTCTTTTGCGAACGGAGTCCTTTTTCACCCTCTGAAAAATACTGAGCCCTATAGAGTAATTTAACACCTTTATAAATTTATTTTTAAAAAAAATTGTTTTTGGTGGCAATTCTTTAAAATTGCTACAATAGATCTAATATTTTGTGGCAAAATCTAAATTGCCACATATGTTTGTGAAGTATTTATGTATTGTGGCAAATATTTATTTTGCCACTAAAAGTTTGCCACAAAAAATCATATTTTTTGTAGTGATCATCAGAGCGTCCTCCAGTAATGATTCATGGACGTAGTTATAATCCCAAATAATCTCATGTGATGGTTGTTCTACATCGATGATTAATAGATTTGTTTTTGTTGTACACGCCTTTTTCGTTCTGGGCGAGTGTTTATTGAACCAAGTGGTCTTCCTCTCTTCCTTTGGGGAGCCACAACCTCACCCGCACTTCCACTAGATGTAGGTGCAATGCATGTCTTTATGGCATTGTGTCCCTTGTTTCGGATTTCTAACCTTGCACATTTATAGCTGGTATGTGTGGTCTTGTCACTTTTGCAATATCATTGAATGAATCCGGCATCAAATCTGCCACATTCTGAAGATCAATTATTCTTTTTACTTCATTTTCACATTGTGACGTACAAGGACCAAAATGAGACAAGGTAGGAACACACTAAGATAATTCCTGTCGTTTTTTTGGAAATTTGATTTCCTTTTCACCCCCTAACGACGGGAATGTTGTCTCACCAAAGTGACTATTTGCAAATCTAGCAGTAAAAAGATCACGAGTCAGCGGTTCTATATATATCAGATAATTGTTGGTGATTCATATCTAACATAAATACTTAATCGCCTTTGAGGACCATTTTAGTACGTTGTGGGGGCGCAATCGACACGTACACTGCACAACCAAAAATCTGTAAGTGTGAAATAACATGCTTATAACCAAGAACTAACTGGTATGCAGAGAACGGTTGTGCACTGGTGGGTCTAAAGCGAATAAGTAAAGATGCATGAAATTTGGCATGACCCCATGCAGAGATTGGAAAATTTGTGCGCATAAGCAATGCCTCATCTACCATTTGTAATATTTTAATGGTAGCTTCTACGAGACAATTTTGTGTATGTACATGGGAAACAAGATGCTCTACATCGATCCCAATAGCCATGCAATACTCGTCAAAGTTCTTTGATGTAAACTCTACGGCATTATCAAGTCTTACAGAATTGATTGGGTGGTCAGGGTGGTGAGCCCTCAAACGAATGATTTGTGCCAAAAATTTTGAAAATGCAACTTTTCTCGTTGATAATAATGTGACGTGTGACCAACGTGGTGAGGTGTCAACCAGAACCATAAAGTACCTAAATGTTCTGCTCTCTAGTTGGATAGGCCCACATATATCTCCTTGTATTCGTTGTAGGAATGGTATATTTTCCTTTGAATTTTTATCATATGAAGGTCTTGATCTTGTTTTTCTAATGAGCATGCTTTGCAAAAGGATTTTTGAGCCTTTGAAAAGGTTAACTGGGCACGATGACACGCGAATGATTCTTTGGTTACGTTAGAATTACGTCATTCGTCTACTTTGGGCAAGATTAGACCCAACACTATACGTTGTGGTGGGATTTTTGTTATTTTGTCCTTGCTACGAAAGAATGGATGACCGTGAAAATTTTTTAAGATACAGATCATCATGTCACGACTAGGATGGCCTAGTCTATCATGGCAAAGCTTATGTCAGTCAGTATCTCATATTTCATCATGGCTTATAGAATAACACTCAATTATCTAAATTGTAGTGATGCACAATCCATTACGTTTACCTTTAAATTTCTCTAATATGCACTTTCTTCCACATTCATTAGAGGTAATCTAAAGTTATTCTATGTCATCCTCACAATGGGTTTCAATATGAAAACCATTGTCAGGAATGTCTTTGAAACTTAATAAGGTGTGAGTAGCTCTAGGAGATAATAGAGCATTTACAGCTATAATCAACAAATCATTGTACCTCGTCCTTGAATAACATGTGACGATCCAATCATTGTTGTCATAGATGAATTATAAACCACTAAGTTTTCAAATAATTGCCTATTTCAGAATACAGTGTGGGTAGCCCCACTATGTAATAAGCATTCAAGTTCACCTCGATTCATGTCTGTATAACGGATGAATCACATATAGAATCCAAGTTTGAAATATTACATAATAGGCATAAGTATGTATCCCACATTTATTTCAATGCAAATAGAAAATAAGTCCTCATAATCGAAAAAAACTTAAAATTGTCTTCAAGAGAAAGAAGAAACTTGGGGGAAAGTGGGATAGATTAAAAAACTATAAAGAAATTATTCCAAAAACATTGTTCATGCCAAAGGAACTGATAAAGTGTGTCAATCAAAGTCTGGTGCATCTAGTGGCTGCACATATTCTCCTTTGTTCGTAAAGTGTGCAAGGGTAAGATTGGCATCAACGTCATTGTATTCCATGTCTAAATATTAAGATTCTTGTTCTCTTGATTCTCGATATTTTTATAGCAAGCTGCAACTTTATCACTAGCACGATAGTGCTTGCACTAGTGTCCACTTACTCCACATCGGTAGCATATATGGCTCATTTCCAATTCGTTCTTTTTTCATGGGAGAACCTTTGGTAGGATTTGACCTTTTTTGTTTGACCACTCGGTCTATCATTCGGTTCTCTTCGCCATGCATTAGAAGATCCTCCATGACACTTCCCACGAGTAGGGATATTTTCACGTGGGTAAGGATCGGCACATCCACATCCCCTTTCATGAGGGTTCTTTCCATGTTTTGCTCTACCAAAATTGGCTTCAGGAATTTTCTTTGTCCCAGTAGGGTGAGCATTATTGTTCACAAGGATTGCGTTATGTTTTTCTGCTCTCTGCAACATATGCATCAACTTGTTAAAGGTTGTGATTCTTTTATTTTCATACTCGATCCTGTACTAGTTTTCCAGTATCATGGAGGAAGTAGGGAATGTGGACAAATCTTTTTGAATCGTGTCATCTTCTGTAATGGGCTTGCCACAAAAAATGAGACGTGCTTTAATTTTAAACAAAACATGCATGTCTTTGTTGAAGTCATTTATCTGTTTATAATCTAGCAAACAGATTTCATTCCATTGGGCAGTTAACTCCATGAGCAAGGAGTGATGAATGTTCCCAAAGCGGGCCTTAAGGACATCTCACAGTTCTTTGGGACTTTTCAATTGAAGATTTTCTCAACGTAAACTTGGGTCAACATGGTGGCTAAGGAACATGAGAGCACCAACTTTCACTTTCTCAGATGGTGCGCCATCGTTCAATTCTGATGGATCTTTAAGCATGGCATATTAGTCTTTAGCAACAAAGTAGTTTGTTAGCCTTGGTTTGCTAAGCCTCTTGTTATGATGTTAACAAACAATATAAGAGTTTAATGTTTATTTAAGTGTTTCAGGTACAACAAGAATCCATTAAGATTCGGTTCTCAAGAATGAAGTCGAAACACTAAACTAGCGTAGAATATAGGTAAAAATTGATGTAAGGATATGATTTTATATACCTATATTCACAAGCTCAAAAACACTCACAAAATATGTTTAAAACCCTTTTATAATCATTTTCAAACATTCAAAAGGTTTTAAACAAAATTGGAAACGATTTGGACAAAAATGAAAAAATTGTCAAAATGGTCACTAGGTACCTAGGTACCATGAGTAGGTACCATGAGGGGTACCGTGAGTCAATCTCAGAAGGTACCCCCTACCGTCAGCACGGGACCCCCCTACCGTCTGGACGGGACCCGCCTACCGTAAGGGGTACCGTAAGAGGATAAGTACCGTTAGAGAGTTTTGGCGTGAGAAGGTACCTAGCTACCGTGACAGGGTACCGTTACCGTTGGAACACTATTCTTAATTGCTGATTTTTGAATTAGTTCAACCTTAATCACCTTCTAACGGCTAATTAACATCTTCCACTATAAATATAGGCCTAATACTTCATATTTCAACAAAAAACAAAGCTCCAAACATCCTCCCTTTATATTCTAAGTGTGTTCATTCTTTCATTCATTATTTTCAATATTTTAGCTATTTCAAGAGCCTTAAATTCTTGATTTTTATACACACACTTTGAGCTTGTGTTTCTAGTTATATATACTCTCATATTCATAAATTTATATTGTATTTTTGAGAGAGTATAATTTCCTTCTACACTAGCTAAGTTTTGTTCTTCATTTTTATATTTTAGCCGTTGTGTAGAATCGTTGTTTGTGTTCTTCAAACACACCTTCTTACGGTCGAGAATAGCCGTTAAATTCTCACGTTGTAACAGTTAAGGATAGCCATATAAATCCTTGGGTAAAGGTTCAAGGATAGCCTTTGAAATCCTTGGGGGAACGGTAGAAGATAGCCGTTAAATCTTCAATGTAAACGGTTCGAGATAGCCATTGTAAAATCTCGGAGTGAATCCTATTGGCAAGGGTTGTTTGCCAAACTAGTGTGGTGCTTTGACAGAGTTCAAGAGACCGGAACTTAGTGGATTCAGAAATCCTTGAGGAGGAGCCTCGAGGTACTGGAGTAGGGGGTTCCTGAACCAGTATAAAATCGGTGTGTCTTTTACTTAACGCTTTTATTTCTGCGTTTTACTTATTGCTTCCGCATTTGCCAACACCGTTTTTATTAAACTCCGAAAAGTTTTTAAACGCCTTATTCGCCCTCCCTCTAAGGCGTGGGCACGACAACTAAAACCGATTAACACAGTTTCCACATTAGAAACCCAACGGTGGTTCTCAAGTCCTTCTAAGTCCAAGATGTCAAATTCAGGTTGAGTTGGATAGTCATTCTGAGGGGAGTTGGCGCTAGGGACGAGCGACTGAAACAAGGGATGGGGATGAGCAGCGGCCGACAAACATCTTCTCCCACTGTAAAAATTGAGCAGCAATTGATCTTGGATGGAAGAAGTGGGGGTGCAGTGCAGAAAAAAGGCTTAGAGTTGTCGTGATGATAACGTGATTAAGGGAGAGGTGTGAATCTTCATTAGTAATAGCCTCCTTATATAGGGGAGAGCTACTTTACAATTTACAAGAGAAGGCTCATTGGGCCGCTACAAATGTATTACAGAATACAATATAAATTCAACCTACCCAACAGCACACTACTTTATAAACTCCTTCTACCAGGGGCAGCTCTAAGTGTGGGCAGGGTGGTCACGTGGCCAGGGCCTATTTTTGAAGGGGCCCAATTTTTTTCTATATTTACGTGAAAAAATTTATTTGAATAATATATACATGGATATTATTCCAATAAAAATACAGTCCTAAATCACTAAATCTAATAGACTATGGAGAGGTGATCAACTTTATTGCTCCAAAAAATGAGAGAAGAACTTCAAGAATCCTCGGTTAGGTGCTAAAGTATGTAGTATGTAATTACAAATTTATAATACTACGAGTTTGACATTTTATTACACTTATTACTATAATGTTAATTATTATTTAAAAAGATTAATTGATAGACAAGACCCCTGATTCCTTGGACACGGCCCTACCTTCAACAATAAAAAAATTAAAGTATTATATTAAAATATTGTAATAACCACCTTAAAAGTAATGTTTTTAAATTTTTTACTGAAGAAAATTTTAGGACAAGGTAATATATTAAAATTTTAAAAAGTTGGGCCCTCGATAAAATGGGTGTGGGTCGGTAGTGTTGGAAAATTTAAAGTAAATTGGACATTTTTCGGACATAAATTCGGTTGGGTCCATAAAATTATTTACCAAAATAATTATGGACGATTAATTTCGTAAGTAAGACGAACGTCTTGATATATGACACGTTATAAACGGTGCTCGGGTGAATGAGAAATTAATTCTCAAAGTTGAATGCTAAGGTAGAGTAAATGCCTTTGTCCCACACCGGTTTCTAAACCTTTCGTATTCTCATATTTAAGCTTAGACATTGAATTGAGCTTATGAAAGGAACAAGAAGAGGACTCCTCGCGCGACCGCCGCCGCCGCCGTCTGTCCGGCTCGACACGACACGCGCGAAGGGTCCAAAGTTGCTCTCCTATAAATGGAGGGCTCGGCTGCAGAAACAACACACTCGACACACTCTCAAAAATTCACTCTCTCTGCAGTAAAACTATTCCTGCAGTAACTCCGTCATTCTCGTTCGCCGGTGCTTTGTTCTACCGCTCTAGACCTAGCACGAAGCGGTTTTATCCTGGGAGGAGATTGCCCACGTTAGCCAGTGCGGGAGGCGGGCAATACTACCTTAAGGAAAGCTCCGGCGACTCCGCTTTCCTTACTCTTCTTTCATAAACTACTCCGGCGTTCTTCCTCTCATCATCCGCCGTCTCTGTTAGCCGTTCAAGCGCCCGTCCGTTCGTGTTTCGGCATCCGTTCAAGCATCCGAAGACTCCAAGTTTATTTTTCTTTTATTTTTGTTGTAAAGTCCGAACGTTTTATAAGTTCAGATTATTTATTTTTATTTTCCCGCTGTAATATTCAACAATCTTAAGGTAGTAATGATGGAGTTCGGATTCGGCATCGTGGGTTCCTCCGGCAACGGAATGAGTTCCGAAATTCCGGTGGAAACCTCTTCGGTAGCCATGGTTGTGCCGTCCTCACCACTACCCTTCGGGGCAAGTGTGGGGGCCGCAACCATGACGTCGTTTTCAATGCCGAGTTCGATCTTCGGGTCGGCCCCTCGACCCATTTCCGGGCTCGAAACCACGGGGGATCACCCCGTCGGTAATTCAAACCCGTTTCTCGGACCGACTACGGCTTCGGCCTCGACGGTCAACTTTGGACCGAACACAGGCTTTCCCCCACCGGTCAACGTAGGACCGAACGCGGGTTTCCCCACACCGGTCAATCCATTCGTTGGACCCCATTGGGTGACTAACGGGCCTTTCCTCCACACGCCCAATGCAGTTGGGCCGATTACGGTGCCCGCTAGTTCGGTTCAAAGGCCACCGAAATTCAATGGGACGAACTTCAAAATGTGGCAACATAAAAGATGATGTTCTTCATGACTGTCTTGGGATTTGCTGAGTACCTGCAGCAAGATCCCCCCAGCCCAATGAAGCCAACGATCCCCTCATGGCGATGGTGAACCAAGCATGGTACCACAACAACTATCTCGCCATCAACATTATCCTGTAGGGGTTGGGAGATTCGATGTACCCCGTTTACGCTGGTCGACAGCAAATCTGTTGTCGCCGAGGCTGAGGAGCTTACGGTAATCTTCAATAAGTGCAATGAAGAAAAAGTAGGCGTCAGCGAGGCCTTCCAAGTGGCGGCCATCATCCACAAACTTCCCAGGTCGTGGGAAGACTTCCAAGCCGACCTCAAGCTCAAGAGAACGGAGCTGAACTTGGAGCAACTGCTCACGTGGTTGAGGATCCGAGAGGAAGGGCTTGCTAGAAGAAATGGAGGGGCGAGGGAGAATGTTGTAGAACATCCGTCGGGCTCCTCACATGGGGGGAAGGAAAAGAAGAAAATGGGTCCTAAGGGTGGTGTTTCTAAATTTGCAGGAAAGTGCTACAATTGTGGCATTACTGGGCATCGTTCCTCCGATTATAGGAAAAAGAAGCCACGAAAGGGAAAGAAAAAAACCACTGAAGCCATGTGTGCGGAGCTTGACAACTTGGACCTCTGCGCGGTTGTCACCGAGGTGAATCTCGTTGGGTCAAACCCGAGGGAATGGTTTGTGGACACAGGGGCCACACGTCATATTTGCTCCAACCGGAGCATGTTTCACGAATTTCAAGAGACCTCCGGTGACAAGGTTTGGATGGGCAATTCGGCCCAGTCAGAGGTACAAGGGGTGGGCAAGATTAAGCTCAAAATGACCTCAGGCAAGGAGTTAACGCTTAACGATGTGCTCTATGTGCCTGATATTCGCAAGAATTTGGTGTCGGGGTCATTGTTGATCAAACACGGCTTCCGAATGGTGTTTGAATCAGACAAGCTAATTTTGTCCAAGAAAGGGATTTTTATTGGGAAAGGTTATATTTCCGATGGGCTTGTAAAGCTTAATGTAATGACTGTTCATGAAAAGATCAATAAAAATCCTGTTGCTTATGTGT